CACATGTCTACTGATCCGGATGAGAAAATCTCTTCTAGACTGCTAGACCGGGCTGACGAAGCTATTGAAATAAACTCCCTTTTGGCCTTATCGCGATAACGATAGCGGATTCATCCACGTATAACCAGCACAAATCGTACAAATGCCTCTCTTCTCACAATTATCGGGGCTCCGTAGTTTGTTGTTAGTGAATAGAATCCGTACCCGCTTTCACTTCTTCGGCGTTCATACCTCATGACATAAAGCGTAGGAGATTTGGCAAATCAGAGATTTCGCTATTCGAGAACTGGAGACTAAGCTGCAAGGTTTTATTCACGTGTCGTTCAATCTCACTCCTTCCATTTGAAAAATCAGGGACCTGCTCTGCAACGCAGGTGAAGTAGGCAGGTAGTCCCTGCGTCTCTAAGACTGTGTAAGCTATTCTATTATGTCCGACAGGAAACCTTATCAGAAGTGCCTCGCTATCAATTGGCTGATTCTCTGCTGATAGAGATTCCAATTCTTCAAATCGCCAGATGTCCTGTTCTCCTATACTCCACTTTGGCGGTGTCAATCAATACGTATCTTATGCTTTCAGCGCATTCGTTGAACCACTGAATATCCTATTCTCCGGATCTCTAGATCGATGCTCACTGTTCGATGTTGATGGTGTTTACTTTGCTGCAGCGTCCACCAGTCAGCTTTCAACCTCCCGTCAGCGGCTTGGAAAGTATAGATATCGATCCAGCGACCATCAGCGTCTCGAGGGACTGAAGTATTTATATCGATCTAGCATCTTCCAGCGTCCACCAGCGATTAGGACTAAAAGTATGGGGAAGGAAGGAAACAGACTAGCAGACTGGAAGTAGGCAGGAGCAGACAGCTGGGTTTTCGTTGTAGTTCGGCGTGTGCAGCTACACCACACTGCTACAAAATACCCTACTCATAGTAGCTGGTGGTCGCTGATGGACGCTGGTAGACGCTGCCGTTCGCTAAATTGATGCCCTCCTTTCCTAGTCGCTGACGCTGACGGACGCTCGAAACGCCGATGCTCGCTGGCAGATGCTGCCGCAGAGTATGAACGCAGCCTTACACTCGCTGATATGCCTGGTGTTCTGCGCTTTCTTTTCAGCGTCTTTTTCAGTCGCAAACTACGAACACCGCCGTATGCAGTGCAATCTGAGAGGCTGTTCCATCCGTTCCAATTACCGTTCCCCACTCTACGTGTGCGGCTTTTTTGCGTAAGTCTTTGAGCCCTGAACTGAATACTGTACTTTTACTTGCTTCAATAGGATATAGCAAATTTATCTGAAAACATATTGCATGAGTTCACATTAGAATACATTCACAAACCAAAACGTAGCCTGCACCTAAAACTTCCACACCATTGGTTTACTCCATATCCTGAAGATGAAGAGGGCTTTATCTGAACATGGTATTGGATGCTTTTTTGTGAGATACAATATTTCCATTTGAGACAACTGTAATCTTGTGCTGGACAGAGATGTGGATACAATCGCCTCGAAATGAATACCTCATCAACACCGAAGAGGTCAGACCTGTGAAAGTGACTTCACAGTTTCAAACAAGCCTTGGAATAGGTTCACAGTTCAGAGACTTGAAATAAAGTCCCTGTGAACCTTTGCATCCATCAGTTGTCATGTTCATCTTGAGGGCGACTTTCTGAAAGTCTTCGAATGAAAGCAGAGTGAAAGAAGAAGTGTATTGGGGCCCGACCGCATGCAAAGTGAACCAGGGCAGGGCATACCGCTCTCCGAAGAATCCTAACGGCAGGTGTTGGGTCTCATGAAGAGCTTCGCACTGAGAAGAAGGTCGTTGCCTCGACGCGCCTTGACGCCGACCAGCGAAGCACTTTGTTCTTTATAAACACCAGCCGTACCGAGCCTATGGGTGGAACAGAGCTTATCCTTGTTGCCTTTTCATCGGTGCCCCCTCCTAACAAGATCGTTGCGGAAGAGGAGAAGTATTGTATTGGAGAGGATCGTTAAGAAGAGGAACACGTCAGTAAAAAGTATGCAGCAGTAGGCTCAATTCTAGAATATGTGTTAATAAGTAATGGTACTGTACCATATCCTGCATCATATCGGAACCAACGCCCCATCATTGCTGGAACCGGCTATGAATTTGGTGAACCTCCTTTCTAACGCCCATAACAGATCTTATCATTCTTTATAAATTCTTGTCGCCCACCGATAATGTTTTCCCATAGCCTATATCATATCTTGGAACCAACGATCTATCATAGCTGGGACCGGCGCTATGAAATTCGTTTCAAGACTCAAGAAGACCTCCTACTATGGTGAGCTTCATAGTGGCATTATAACTTATTTATACCATTTTCACTTTAAATTCGCCCTTTTTCAAACCAAATTCGTCCTTTTTCAAACCAAATTCGTCCTTTTTCAAACCAAATTCGTCCTTTTTCAAACCAAATTCGTCCTTTTTCAAACCAAATTCACCCTCACTCTTCATCAAGAACCACACTTATTAGGGCGGGCAACTCATCAACCAGATCACGCCAGACATCACTGCAGAGTCCCTGGCCCAAACGCCCGCCCACTTGTCAGCGCGGACATATATTTCAATCTTGTTTCATAAACTTCTGCTTTTGTATTTCGCAAACCCTCTTTTGAGCTGCATTCACACATGACCGACTCCGCCCATTCTCTAAAGGGTTTGGCACTCTAGGCTGACCACGCCCACTGGCTTTTCGCGGAATTTCGATGTTTTTCCAAAATGTTGCATTGTTGAGGCGTTACTCGTTGAAGCCCCGCCACTTGTGAGATGCCTCCGCCACTTTTAACAAACCCCACCACTTTCGAAAATGGCTGAGTATCGGCAGTATAGAGCCTTGGCTTGCATGCTAGGGTATTGCTGATCATTGGGAATAAACTTTGACGGATTTTCTTGTTCCGAGTGACGTACGAGACCCTAAAAACATGAAGCCAAGTACTCCTATATGCGATTCTGCACCTATTTGAAAATAGTGGGCGGGCTTTATTCAAAGTGGGCGGAGCATCTCACAAAGGGCGGGGCTTCACGCAGCAACCCTAAATTGCAAAAATTTTGAAAAAACATCGAAATTCCGCGAAAAGCCAGTGGGCGTGGTCAGCCTAGAGTGCCAAACCCTTTAGAGAATGGGCGGAGTCGGCCATGTGTGAATGCACGGTGGTTTCCAGTCAAAGGGTTCGCGGAAACAGCAAAAAGCAGAAGTTATTGAATACAAAGATTGAGTAATCTATGTCCGCGCTGACAATTCGTGGGGCGTGGCCGTCGGGGCGGGGCTCGCAGTGATGTCTGGCGTGATCTGGTTGATGAGTTGCCCGCCCTAATAAGTGTGGTTCTTGATGAAGAGTGAGGGTGAATTTGGTTTGAAAAAGGACGAATTTGGTTTGAACAATGGCTGCGAATTAAATGTGAAAATACGCGTATTATATTTGCAAGATTTTTAGCGCCAGGCTGGCATCCAATGGGTCAATTTGAGCAGCTCCAAGAACGGATATCATATTCCAGATCAGGGCCCAGTATTCCCTTGGCGTGGTGTCAGCGACGAAAAAAATATGAGGGTTTCGGATGAAATTAGTGGAACATTTTCAATTTATTATTCAAAATATTATCAATAAAAAACAACTCGTTTTTCGCACCTTCGTTTGTGTTCACAATTACACTTATCAAGCGGACGAAAATCAAAAAAATAAAATACAACTATTAAACCAACGGCCAACAAACCACAAGATGTAGCGCAAACCATCGCCTGCGCTATCATCTGTCCCCTCTGATTAATTGCTTATGATCACCGGTGATCACGTTGTCGTCAAATGTAACGCAACCAATCCAGCATACGCGATCTGTTCCGAAGTGACTATTGCGGTTTTTCGGGCGCAGTTCGACTTGTGAGGCAATTTTCGCTCTTTCCTATACAACTCACCTACCGCTGCCTCCTGTAGAGACCTGTGAATTTCCTGTACATTTCCTATTCCTGTACTGGTTACACTGCACAGGAGTTCACCAAGATGAGATGTCTAATTTGACAGAAACTTGCAAAAGAAACTGGCAAAAGCGCGAAGCTCCTGTCCCCCTCTAAACCGAACAACGCCATGATCTTTGCACTGGTTGAACATGTAAAATTACTAGCCTATGATACCTAAATATTAAGACAAAGCCAAGTTATGAACACAGCTAATCTACAGATTCAAAGTTCATCGTGTCTAATAAGAGAAAAGAAATGTTTGTTGGCTTTCTCGAGAAATCCCACATGGTGCTTGCCGAGAAGTCGTAGTTCCTTCATCGCATTTTCCACGGCTGTTTTAGCTTTCTTCTCGCCAATGTCCTGAATGCATATTGATCGATTTTAGACAGTAATCTTTGGTATGAAGTGCGAAATAGTGCTGATTGTTCTTTTGATGTTGTTTGAAAAGTATGAGTAGGATTGCCCGTATGAGTAGGATTTCTGGTACAGGGCACGTCATGCATTGGGTATCCCAGCGAGCAGGGTCGTACATGATCAATGAAAGGGGGAGGGAGGGCGGAGATGAGGGGAGAGGGTCGGTTCCTGCCTCTGAAGAGAATGCCCTCGGTAACTGAGTTTTCTCGGTTTTTTTTCTGTTATATGTGAGCTGTGAAGTCACACCCCTCTTCCAGCGCTTGATGGCAGTTTTTTTCTGGGGGGGGGGGGGTGACGAAGAATTGAGGGAAGGAGAGCGAGAGGATACTGGAAAAAAAACCACGGAAAGGGATAGGAAGTGGGGAAACTCAGGAAGATGATAGGTGAGATGTAGGTAGGTTGGTCGTGCCAGAAAGATAAATGTCGAGGTGAGGATCGTATTTTGCGAAACGTTTCCCCAACGACTCCCCCATTTTCCTGATTGGGCATGAGGATTGCGAGAGTGCAAACACTGCGAAAATGGCAAAAATGGGTCGACATTAGCCCCATGCGCAGGGGAGACGGACAGGACAATCGTGATTTGCCGCGTCGCGCGCGGCAATTTCTCGACATCCACTATTTATCGATTGCTGCAGCAAATCTCATGCAAATCCAAATAAAGGCAAGGCTTCATGACGAGCTGTATCGAATTTTCGTTTTTTTTGACATTCTCGTTAAGAGGCTGTCTAGCACAACTCGCCCGTCGCACGCGGCGTCGCTCGAAACGCCCATCAGCGCGGTATATTACGGTTGTCTTGTTCCATTGCCTATTACCGCGATTGCCCTTCGTCTCTACAGCCCGGACTTTCAATTCTACGCGAGAGGGCCGAAATAGGTTGGGGGGTAGAGGGGGGGGCGTGAGTCCGCCCACATTTACTGCTTGTCTGGCTCTCAGCTACCACAACGAAACTCGGCAAATGCTATTTTACGAGGATGCGGACGAGCAGAAAATAGGCGTGGCCTGACCTCTCCGCTCCCTTCCTTGCTGCCTTAGGGATCTTTTCAAATTAAACTGAAACCACCCAAACCTTGGCTACTTCTTTCTCCACAGCTGCGATGAGGTCCTGCGTTGATTTGGTTTTGCCATCTTCTTGTTCCAGGACGCCTTCCATCTGAAAGATATACTAGTAATCTTATCCTGAATATTAGCAGCACTGCAGTCTGGCCTGACCTAGGCCCTACCGTTCCACCGCAATATGCCAGAAGGCCCAAGACTTACCCGCTTTATCTGGTCCTTTGTCAAGTAGTAACCGAGAACCTTATGCATACGTTCCGTTACATAATCGACTCGCCTATAAAAAAAAGTGAAGGCGATTTCCTGAGGTCAATCAGAAGAAGTGACTAGCATACTTTTTTCCCGTGTAATTATTGAAAGCCGCTTTGATGATGTCATTTTTGTCCTCCAGATAGGTGTCATATAGTTCGAATAATTCCTTTTGATTGTCTCCCAGGTAAACGACTCCCTTTGCTAGCTGGAAAAATTTATTCATACAACTAGGCAACATTTTCTGGTCACAGTCTTAGGCAG